GCATACACTGGGTTTAAATTTGTAAAAAAATATTACAACTGTATCTGATAATGTTTCACTCAAAAACTGTTCTTTTATATGAAGTAGATTTGAATGTTTAAACAACAAAAACACCTTTAAATGTTGTTTTTCCTCCACAAACTGAACTGTTTCACCTCCAGGGGGCGCTGCAGGACCCAGAGAAGACCTCTCCTCACAAAGTTGGCGTGTCTCCTGCTGTGTGACAGGTGGAGGACACTTGGACATGTCTCTAGTCCATCACAGGGACACCTGGAGACAAACATTCACCCTCTCACTCTAAACAAGAAACCGTTTCCAACTATACTATGACATGCATGGTCTTAGTCTGTGAGAGAAAACCCACAGGTGCACAGGGAGAACATGTGAACTCCACACAGACAGGGAGGCTAACCTGTGACCTCAGACGAGACAGCTCTAACCGCTGCACCACAGTCCTGTTGTAGTTTTAAATAAGTCTATCCTCTTCATCTTTATTTCCTCTCAAGCTTTAGGTGAAATTGTGCTGTTTGAACCACAAACAGACAGAAGTCCTGACTGTTTTTGGTTTTCTTGTTGAAATCCTGAAATAAACGAGTTAAATGTCCAATCAGATGTTTTCTATCGGTCAGTGAATGCAGCATTAAAAGTCAACATAAACAGTTTGAGTCAGTTGTGTCCAGCAGAGGGAAACAGAATAACACACTTTGCTGTAGTTGAAACCATTTCTAAACACAAGATATATTTTTGTATTTTCTGCTTGTTTACAGTTTATTATTTTACAAACGTTTCCCTATTTGAGTAAAATGTGCTCAAAGTAACTCCTGTTAGTAACTGTTGAGATCTGGCCTGAGTGTAAAAATAATCTAAGGACACAGGAACAGGTAAACTTTTCTAGTTAAGATTAGTTTCATTAAATGGATGCATAAAAATAAAATATATGAAAAATGTCCAGCTTCAGCAGAAATCAGTATTTTATTTATTTTTAATTCTGAGCTAATAG